ATCAAAACTAAAATTGAAATAATTAAGCATACAATTAAAAAAAAATAAAAAACCTTAAAACTAAAATTACTAGATGTAGGACCATATTAAAAAGATAAAAAATGCAATTACTATAATGACATGCTTAAATGGTACAACCGAAAGAAAACTAAGCCTTCAGGGACCAAATTAACACAAGAATTGAACAACAAGACCAATTTAGGAATACCCAAATGACCTATTGTTTGAATCTTCCTAGTTTTGCAATGGCAATGCTAGTTACTATACTCCACCATCCTTTTGTCTTGTTCATCTTCGTTAATGAAGACAACATGCTAAAGGAACAAATAGACTAGCCACTCCTTATACTATAATTCTTGATCAGGAATTGAAATGTACCATTTCTTTTATCACACTACACCATACGTGCACACATAAAACACACACAAAACATAATACACAAATATTAAGCATAAGTTTTGGCTCTGTTCATACAGAGCTTAAACAGACAACAAGCTAAAATGTTTTTTTTTTTTAGATTTAAGGGAATTGATCCAAGGAGTGAGGGGAGGACTTTTTGGTATAAATAGGGATCGAATTAGGGTTTTAAGGTAGAGAGAAAAAGTAGAGAAAAAAGGTGAATTTAGAAAGAAAAAAAAGAAAAAAAGTGATACTGTGGGAAATTTTAGAGGAATTGTGAGGAAAAAAGGCAATGAAGAGGAATTAAAGAAAATGGGGAGAGAATTAGTTTTCAACTAGTGTTGGAGGAAAGAAAAATGACAAGGATAGTAGAGCAGAGATAGCAAAATTGAAAAAAACGAGAATAGAAGGGCAAACCCATTTTAGTCTAGCTTTTCGATTTTTGTTGTGAGGACTTTTTCATGCGTATTTTCAACCTAGGCTCCCTCAGTCAGACACCTAGGTAAGATTCTTTGTTCTTCTCATTTGATTTGCAGCTCCAATTGCATCGATTCAGTTGCTAATTATTCCTAAATGAACGATGATAGTGATTTCATCACTACCATTGCATAGAAACCCCATTCCCCCTTCATTCCCCTCTATGTTACGTTTGAGTTTGTGAGTGGAAGGTGAAAGAATTTGATGGCTTGAAAAGATTAGACTCTAGGCTTAGTTAGTCTGATTTTTAGGATTTAGGGTTAGATTAAGAAAGTAAAAGGAATCTGGGGTTTTTGATTTGAGAAGAAAAAAATATATTAGGAAAAATTTATTGATGGGTTTAATTCATTTGATGGTGAGAAGGAGATGGTTTGCGGGAGAGAGCTCCATTACCATTCGAGGGGAAGAAGATGAAGGGGCAATGGGTGTTGGTGTTTCATGATCGTTTGTATTTTTTATTTTATGAGGTTTTTTATTTTATGAGGAATAGGTAGCCTAGCTTTTGGATTTGAGATAGAAGAGAAGAGATCGAGCTATTCTTTCTGGGTGATGGTTTAGAAAAAAGGATTGAAGATGAAGTTTAGGTTGCAGATGTGAGGTGAAGAAAGAATAAAAGCTTTCGGAATTGACTTCGAGCAATTTGGGGGCTGGCTTAGGAGAAGTGTTTTGGGTCTTTAGGGGTTGGTAATTGAATTAAAAGAAAGGCTAGGATGCGAGGGCTTGAATGGGCTGGGCTTCGGCCCACCCTGCGTGACCAGGCTTGGGTTGGGCTTAGCCTAACCCATGCTCGAGAGAGAAGAGAAAAGCTGGCCTATCCAGCAAGCCAACCCAGTGGGCCAAAGACCTACTAGAGCCGAAAGGCTTAATAAAACTAATTTTAGTCATTTTTCTTGGAAAATCAGTTCTGAAATTTTGATGCTTAGTTTTAGATTATATATTTGTAGAATTTTTGAGTTCCTTAATCTATTTATTTATTCAATGTTTAGTTTTAGAATTTTCTTTCAATAATTAAATTAGGTAACTAATCAATGAACGAGTCATCAAGTCTCTTAATTTTAAGGACTAATGATTACACCCCACCAACAATAAAATAAAAAATGATTAAATGATTAAAAAAAAAGGATAAAATGATTTAAAAAAGGGAGAAAAAAACGAGATAAAATTAATGTTAGATAGAAATATAAAAAATAAAGAAAAAGAAAGAAAGAATCGATAAGTTTCCATGAAAATAGAAGGATGGCCTCTTAAAGACGTCTTCGAACGTGTAACACGACGTCGAATAGGTTCTTTGGATGTGCTTAGTGGAATTGTTTCTTCTTGGACCTACTTTTTTTCATAAAGACATTGATCTAAGGCCAACGCCCGACAATGTTATCTTTTTCTAGAACACTTTTTGACAAAGTAACTGCTACTATTCTATCTCTCTATGCATATTCATGTATGTGCATGCATATTCTAAGTGGGAGCGAAGCTCGATTTAAAAATGCTGATATATATATATATATGATGTGTCAGGTTAAGATGAATTTGATGGATATGTACATGGTTTATAGACCTAAAAATGGCCTGTTGGTAATTTCTCGCAAGGTTAGAAGGGGTCTGTACCTATTCTAAGTTGAATTATTTCGTGTTTAATAATTTCTCGCAAGGTTATAAATTCCACAATGACTAATCATTCTTGTCTCCCTATAGTTTCTTTGTGGGAAATTTCTTGTTGTTTCCGGGTATGTGTCACTTTTTTTTTTTTTTTTTTGACACCACAAATCAAGCTTTATTTAATAATTTTTTATTTTTAATCATGTTTAATTTAATATTATTTTATTTTTTAAAATATATTTTTTAATCAAAATTTCCATATTTTTTACTTTTTTTTTGAAATAAAAAATAAAATAAATTGAAAAGAAACCTGAAGATATTAAGTTATAAAAAAATTTAAACATGGAAGAAATAAATAATTAGCTTTTTTAAAAAATAAAAATTAATTAATTTTTTTTTCTAATTCAGAAGAAGTAATTTATAACTTCAACTTTTCCAAATTACTTCACCTTCCAAGAAGGTGTTTTTACTTCCTTTTTTCAGAAAAACATCCAAGAAGTTGCTGGAACTTTCTATTTGCCTCTTTTTGGAGAAATCTCAATGTATCCCCTAACGTATTACTCTCAAATCAATCTATTCTCAAATCTGTTGATTTTTATCAAAAAAAAAAAAAAAAACGAATTTTTTTGGATATTAGATAATGCCATCTCTTAATCTATACATTGTTGACTTCATAAAATTCCAATATAATATTTATGTTTGTACCATGTGAGTATATTTTAATGTAGGCTGTTTGACAACTTGTGTGTTTGTCATAAGACTAAAAATCATAAAATAATTAATCTGGTTTTTTTCCAGGCATTTGAGTTCAAAATACCAACAGATTTGATCTTTAGATACTTGACTTCATAAAATTCGGAAAATACTAGTTTTCGAAACTTTTTGTTCATATCTCTCTCTCTCGTCAAAAGATGCTACATTGCTCCTCGATATTGTCTATCAAACAGACTTCCCGTAATTAGATTAGGCAAAAACAAATTGTATATAGCAGCCCAACGCAAGCTGCATGCAGCCTTACTAATTACTTTTCAAAATATATGAAGACAAAACTAGTCCAACCGAGTACAACACACATTCAACAAAATCAATTTTTAAATTTTATTCCTTACAGAACCAAAGGATAAATTCTGGGTATTGCAAAAAAATTATAATAAATCTAGTCATTAATTAATTCCTTAATAATTAATAAATATTTTAATTTGAAAAGGAAACTACCATATCGCTTTTAAGTATTAAAAATAATTATTTTCTAGGGCCTGCGCATGTGAGTTATTAAAATGATGGATCCTGTTATGTCAGTATTTTTCAGCTTCAAATGACAAAAAAAAAAAAAAAAAAAAAAAAACCTACATAAATTTCTCACAAGAGCTTAGTATTAAACCCGGGGTTAACAACCTCATTTGTTCTTATATAATGAATTAAGTTTTTAATTTATTTTTATATTCTAAAATGACTCAATTATGTTTTTATTATTTTATCTAATTTTAATTATCCTTTAGGTTAATTTTTTAGCAAAACTATAAAAAAATTAATCACATGACTTGCACATGATAAATTTTTTTAATGAAAATACCCCTCCTATGCAAATAAGGTTACTTTATATATTCACTTTTGATGGATATTTTTATCAAAAGACATGTCATTTGCAAATCCCACGGTCAATTTCTAATGATTTGACTAGAAAAATTGACCAAAAAAAAAATAGAAACTAGTTAAAATAATATAAGTATAATAAGATAGTTTTAAAATATAAGGATATATTAGAAATTTGAGTTATTTTGTAAAAACAAATGAGACTATTAACTTATTAAACTCATTGTTCTTATGTGTGCCTGCTAAAGGGTTTGTAATTAAGATATTTTCTTTCATAAGTTTATTTATTTATTGAATTAGTTCAAGTCGGATTTACTTTTGTCACCTGTTAATTAAAAACATTCAACATTCAATATTTTGACCAATGTTTTTTAATCCCAAGTGATTGAAAAAACTCAAATAAAAAAAATTAAAACGTTAGATAATCAAATAAGTAGAATAAAAAGTTAAAAGTTCGAGCTCCAAGACTTTTTATCACTTTTTGACCACCATTTATTTTAAACAATTACCTTATCATATCACCCGGCCATCATCTATCCGATGCCATAGTCGCTAACAGTATTGTTGTCATCACATCACATTGACCACCATATCTCCATCACAACCACAAATCACGATCACACTATTACAATTGTCACGCATTCGCACCATCGTCACTAATCAATGTGATATTATGACTCGAATACCATATTTTCACATTGATATATATATACACCCTCTTCTTCATTAATGTTATCACACCAGCCAGCTAACCCGGCATCTTGCAAACTAGCTAGCTCTCTACACATACCAAAAAATTCCCAGGTTTTTTTTTCTTTTTTCTTTTTTTTTTTTTTGGTCATAAATGGGGCCTAAAAGAAATTATAATCCATACCTGACTATAATACTGTTTCTTTCCATTATTTTTCTATCATGTTCCAACCGAATAATGGCAGCGAGGCCATTAGGGAGTGATCATGATCAGCTTGGGGGTACTGATAATGATAATTATAATGATGGAGACTTTGTGGCAACCCAAAAGGTCCACCACAAAAACGATTGCAACTTTTGCAGCTATGGATGTGGTCAGTGCAAGGGAAACGGCGGACCTCCATGATGAATGAGTAATCTGGGTTTTCTCTTATAGTTGCCCACAGCTAGCTTGGAAGGAATAGCTAGTACCCTAGTGTATCGCTTTTTATCCATGTTTCTGGGATGATAATTATTTCTGTGTACTTTGCTGGTTTACTTAATTTCACCATGTTCGCGTATTCTTCATTTTCCTAAGCTTTTGGGTGAACTCATCATTTTTTATGTTTTATTTTTAATTTTTAGTTCACATACAGGTTCCTTTTATTATATAATAATAAAAAAAAACTAGAGTTATTAGGATTCGAAATTGATTCACTAAAAGAAACTATCAAGTAAAAAACTATTAAGCTATGCCTGCTTAATTATATTGGTGAATTCATTATTGACTTTGCTAGCTGGTTGTGTATTGATGTTTTTTATTTCATTTTACGTGTACAAATCAATATAGATTAATAGTTAGTGATTAGCGTTACAAGAGAGGAGAGACGAGTTTAAACAATGAATTAATGGTTAGTGATGACTGAGAAAGAGTCAATGATTCAATGTATTTGTATCTAAATAGAAGAGAGTATATACAAGAGTCTACAAGCACTATTAGAAAACGTCCTATTTCTTGAAAAATCGTTGCTAAATAAGATTAGCAACGGTCTGAAACCATCTCCAAAATGCACAAAATGCATGTCGCTAATTATTTAGCGATTATTTTTTCAATCCGTCGCCAATTTAGCGACGCGTTTTCTGTCACTAATGTGAAGAAAAGCTATCGCTAAAAGTTGCACAAGTTTGCGACTATTTTGACAAACAATCACTAAAACCATTGCTAAATTTTGTCAAATTTGCAACGGTTTTTACAAAAACGTCACTAAATAGCAATAGTTTTACCAATTGTTTTGTAAAAACGATCTTTGAAATTGTGATTTAGCGATGATTAAAACGATCGTTAAAACCATCGCGAATTTTTTTAAATTTTTTTTAATATTTACCCAAATTTTAATTATTTTAAGTCAACCTACTCCAATTTTAAAACTAAAAAAAAAAAAAAAACCATATACATAAGATTTTTAAATATAACAAAATTCATATAAAATAGAAAATTTAATAAAATTCAATTTATATTACAATATTTAATTATGAAAAAAACTTTAAAGTTTGTTAATATTAAAAGAAAAAGAAAACATAAAAGCTAAGAGCGATTAGTAGAGTCGTCGATCGGAGATTGAGTGGCATCGCTAGTCGGAAGCTCGGTGGATGAACTACATCATTGCATATTCAGCAACATCTCGCTGCAGCATCACATGTAGCTCTCAAGTGTACTCTTTCAACTCATTTGTAGTAGCTAAAAGCATTATAACAAAACTATTTAGATGCTGGATCCCATCTACAAAATGATGATTTGATAGTCCATTAGTTAGTCTACGACCAATCTAGCAATGATCCGAATTCATTTTACACTAAATTTAATCAGTATAATAATTAAATTACTAATTTACTTCAATTGAAAAATAACAAACTTGTTTAACAACTAACTTTATAATTGAAATAAAAAACAATTAACAACTAACTCTGTAATTTTATAATTGAAATTAAATTTTATTAATTTAATTATAAACTCTTAATTTTCTTATTTAACTACCTAATTGATTCTTTTAAACCCAAATTGAATAACTTAATTATAAAGCAATTGACTTAATTAACAACCACAAAACTTAAATAACAAACAAATAAATTAAATTAAAACATAAATATATATATTTTTATATAATATTAAAAAACATAATTTTAAACTAATTTTACTATGTAACTACCTAATTAATTATTTTAAAATTTTAATTACCAATTAATTATTTAAATTAATGTAACAAAAAAATTAATTACCTCCTAAATATATAATTAAACTAACAAACAATTAATTTCATTAAACTATTCAATATTTTATTTTTTCATAATTTTAAATAATGTTATTAACGCTTAAATCACTTATTTAAGAATCACTTATTTTATTATTAAAACTAACACCTATTCAATGTTTTCTAAAAAAATAAATTATTTAAATACCAACCAGTTTAACATAATTTAATTAACAACTAAATGAAATTTATTTAACGCATATTTTATTAAACTAACACTTTAGTAATTTTTTAAACAAAAACTTAAATAAATTAACAAATATCAAATACTTATAATAATGAAATAAATTAAACTCGACTAATAATTAACCAATAGATCACTTAATTATTTAAAAATAATTAACAAACAAAATTTTTGAATACCTATAAATAAACTTTATTTCATTAACAACTATATAAATAAAATTTATTTAACACATACTTAATTATATCCACACTTAAATAATTATTTTAATAAAATATTAAATTAATTAACAAATAACAAATACTTATAACAACAAAATTAAATAAACTAACCAAAAAACTAAGTAATAAAAAAATTAACAACTAAATTAAATTTATTTAAAACATAATTTATTAAACTAACACTTAATTAATTAATTAAACTTGTCATACCCCAAAAATTTTGCTCATTTTTCTTGTTATTATTTAAATTCATGCTTGTTTTATATAAAATCAAAACAAACAAAAAAATCAAAAAATATTTTCTTTTATTTATTTAGAATTCAGAACAAAATTTTAAAAAATTACAAAAAAGAAATAAAAATACAAAAATGGGCAAAAAACAAAAAAAAAAGAGATGGAGGGACAGTTCCCCTGCATCTCTTGTGTAATTTTCTTCTACACTTTCATGTAGTTTCTTGCTATCTTCCCAAGCTGAATTGCAGCTTGCAGCCCCTCCTATAGCAACTTGCAAGCTATGCTGCAATCTCCTATCTCTACAATTCTTACACATCCCCTCCAAGTCAACAATTTCAGCCACCTTATAGCCCACAATTTCATCCCGTCCACTTGCAACCTCCTCCTACACCATCCTACTACTGCAAATTCCAACAGTCTCTCCCTCACTGCCAGCCTCTAATAGCCCACAATCTTTAGCCTCCCCTACAGCCACCCTCCTACTGCCATAGCCCATAACTTCTCCCCATACCTTGCTGCAAAGCCTCCTGCCAGCCACCTTGCTCTGCCCACAACTCCAGTAGTTTCACCGATAGGTAGCAAAATAAAATCTAGAATTATAGAACAAGACTTAACCGTATAAAAGATTTTTTTTTTAATCATAATTCCAAATCCACTTATCATCATCTCCTCGATCCATATCTACTTGAACCTCCAATTAGGAAGCTCCCTTCTTCAGTTGAAATTCCAAGACCAACTCGTTTCGTATCACTCTCCCATTTCTGAAACCATGCAATCTTTGTCACTGGCTAACCTGAAAAGTCTTGGAAAGGTAGACATTAAAGATGCTCTATTGGGCCATGCATACTTCCAGAACATGTTATTGCCGCCATTGCCAACGCTAAAACGAAGCCTTTTCTGAATAGCAACACTGCTAGGATAAATTACGCGTAAAACATGGAATTTCCTGTAGGTTGTTCTGCATTTCTAGAGGATGATTTTTTGCCAGTCTGAAGAGATATTGCCACTAGGACGCCATATCTGCTTGTAAAGTAAAACCTTGTTTTTCATGATAATTTGTAAGGTGGGGTTGGTAGCAGCATTATGTGAAAAATCTTGAATAAGCTTTGCAAATGGATTATGCAAAATCGATTGTCAATACACGCATGTTCATAAGGTGCGCCTATCGTCATTCATTTTCCAAGTCAAGATCAACTCACTAATTAATTATACTAGAAAGGAGTAATAATTTGCATTACAAATTCTCACTTCCATTACACAGATAAAAGTGGTTGAACAAAGCAGGAACATAGACTTATACAAATAAGGCAATTCTTTTGTGATAGAAACATGCAACAGCACTCCTAGATCTTAAACTGCAACTTTGATTTGCGGCTCTAATCACCTCGCTCCCATGCAGTCCACAGCATATTGTGAACTTTATTATCATTCACCTTGAGTCGTTGGTCCACGCCCTCCAAGGAAATTGGCCCTAACTTGATGCAATTCAGCTACAACATTGCTAATGTCCATCCTCTCTCTTGGAAACTTTTCAGAACAAAAAACTCCTACCTCACTAATTGAAACCAAACACTGCAGGATTTTATCGGCACTTGTTTCCGGATCAACTTCGCTCAAAAGCATCGGATCCGCAATTTCTACCACACGGTCAGGCAATGCCATTTTAACATAATTGTGAAGTTCTACTCCATCTTTAAACATGCTATCTGTAGGTCTCTTTCCTGTAATCATCTCCAACAATAGGATGCCATAGCTGTACACGTCCCCATAAGTTGAAACCTTGCTTCCCATGCCATACTCTGCAGTCAGTTTGTTTGCACGGTTAATCAATTAATCAGAGCAAAATTGTAAATAAAGGAATATATATCCTTCTAATGTTTTATGTTACCTGGGGCTGCGTAGCCAATGGTGCCTTTTAAGCCAACGGAGCTTGTATGATTCAATGAGAATTGTCCTGAGGTTTCAGAAAGGAAGTTAAGCAGTCCAAAGTCCCCAACATGAGCAGTCATATCTTCGTCAAGAAGAACATTACTAGGCTTAAGATCGCAATGAGCAATAGGCATTTCGCAATCGTTGTGCAAATAGTCAAGTGCACTAGCCACATCAATTGCAATGTTTAACCTCTGAAGGAGATTAAGATTTCTCGGCTCGTTCGCTTCTTGCTCTGATGTATGGATTGGATGCAACCACTCTTCTAGACTTCCATTTATCATCAACTTATAAACAAGAGCTTTGAAATCATTACCTTGAAAATCAATTCCAGCAAATGCACTTAACACCTTGACAAGATTTCGATGCCTGATTTTTAACAAGGTTGCACATTCTGTCATAAAGCTTTTGGAAGCTCCTTTACGTAGCAAGTTGAATACTTTCACGGCAACAATCTCTCCATCCCAAGCGAGAACTCCTTTATATACCGACCCAAAACTACCAGCACCAATTAAATTGTCCGAAGAGAATCCATTAGTTGCTTGACGGA